GATAAGCCGGGTTTAAGTCAATATTTCTATTGATTGTGTCCACTGTAGCTATATTTCCGTTGGATCGGCCGATGAATTTCGCGTCTCTGGGGACGAAACTGTGCTCCTCCTGCTCTTTGTGGTCATACTTAGTGACAAGGTATCCTCGCCGTTTACTGCCAACTGGTGTTCATGTAACCTTGTACAGATGTGTCAACGCGTTTTACCAAAACACCTCGCGCTGCAATTTTCCCACGGTATGTTGTTGACCACTGCTGGTCGTTCCTTTGTCGGTATCGGGTCTTTGGGTCGCATTACTTGCTGTCGGATAGTCGAATCCGGTTCACGGGCAATCTCAATTACAAAAGGATTCAGGATTCAAGCTGTCGCCTCTGAAACATGCCTCCCATAGGGAATCGCGAGCCTTCGTCTTTCGGTCACTCACAGGTGAGTTTTCGCCCTTCGTTTGTGTGTGAAGCTAATAACCATCATCATTTCACAGGAAACTTTCGAAGTTTGTCTTGTTGCTCTTACTTGAACACTTGTGGGTCCATTAATATTTATTGGCGCAGTCGGCTCTCTGTCGCAGCTCCACTGCATAAAGTTCCAGTACTATTCCTGTGATGCTGTCTTTGGAGGTGGATTTGAACAGGAATCCGAAGTGTCAAGCGAATGCAGTTCTTGTACCAGCGATCGCATCTACTTCTTCTCACTATTCGTTGTTGTGCGGTTGGCACAAAAAGCACACAGACTGAAGACCATGGTGCCAGACTTGCTCTCGAGATCATCTTAAATTAAGATCCTATACGTTTCTGGTTGACCACATCGACGTTGTCATCTGCCAGGGTCGAGTCCGCGCGATGTCACATTCCCTATAGCCATGACAATAGTTAGGCCCCCGAACGAGGTAAATGTGCAAGGAATGTGCTTACAGTTATTGTTCACTGCATCGCTCCCCTACCTGAAGCCACTTCATGATACTACATTGTGGTATCAAGGGACTTGTAGTCACAAGATGAGGGTTTGGGTTTTATCTAACACATCTGTCACAGTTCGAGCAAATTTACTTAACACCAGTGACCAAGCTCATGAAATAATAGCAGATGTTATGACGTGCGTTTATCATTCGGAAATATTATCTAATTTGTGTCGTAATTCCGATCATTGTGCGGTATGACACAATTATATTTTAAATACGACAGGATGTCTGCTTTTGATTGCACTGATTTTTGGCCGCCTGCGCAAACCATACGATAAAACAGACTGCTTAAGTAGTATGCCATTTCCTACCAATGTTCGATACCTTCATAAATTTCAGTATATTTGGTAAAAGAAATGATAAAAAATTTCCTTTCACGTACTAATTTGATAACCAGTCACGTCGTCGTCAAGTGGTATACTCGAAGATAGGCTATCTAGCGGTTTAAATAATGTACATAATTATGCGTTTTTTACGACCACACTATGTCCATTCAAATAACATCTAATCTGTCCATTTAATGATCCTTCTTAGGTAGTATACAATATAACCCACATACATTGCAAAATTTGGTTACCGCTACATGCTATCTTGTTGATAGCATAGAGGGATATGCACATCTTATTACACGGAATGTATAAAGCTTGTATAGCGAAAACCCTAAATGTGGATACAACGACAGACAGGGCTCAAAATTGCTCGGTTATTGAGAAAATTCACTCTTCTTTCGAATGTTAACTTTGACAAATTCCTGATTTGATACCAAATAAATACAAGAAAAGTATTATTGCCCATGGCTTTTGTGAAGTATATTTGCATTTTTGAGGATATTGAAAATAAGTAGGAAAAAATACATACAACTTATGCAGCCCTTTTTAATGAGTGCAGTTTTTGCTGGTGGGCCTTTGTTAATTATCAGGACATCTTGCTGCACAATGATCAATAATGTAATCCCTTTTGAAGTTATTTTTCCTAATGGAAGATGCATTTCAGGATTTTGGTTAACCTCTCATAGAATCGTTCATCGAGTGTACATACGTCGACGACACTGTCGTCTGATGGTGATGTTGGTGGTGGTGGT